TCCCAATTGCACAGGCCAGCGGAGCACGCATGGCACACGGTGGTCGTCTTTTTGTTGCATGACCGGCAGGCGACCGCTTGGTATCTCTCGGCGGCTTCCGCGTTGGTAAACGTCTAACCAGCGATGTGGGTAAGATGCCGTGCGGGGCACCAGCAGAAGCGCCTCCTCCTTCGAGGCAACAGCGCTGCAGTAAGGGCTGCGGATTTGCTTCAGGTACAAGTTCGAGGGAGTCGCAGAGGGGTAGAAAGTTGGGTTCCTGAAAGCGAAAATAGTTCTGAAATCGCTGCTGGCTGAGCGCTTCCCAGTTGATTAGGAACGCCGGTGGCCGAATCAGCCTTTCCTGCTGTTCGCCATAGTGGAGGAACAAGGCCGTTAAAGTACTCGTGAGAGCATTGTAAGGTGTTGGCTGTGTTGGTGATCTGGGATCTGGGGGATTGACCACGATCCGGACGAGAATTGAGTTGTGGCACAGTCGGATATTTCGGAGGTTTCAGTTTTGGCTGTCATTTACTGTTGGCAATTCGTTATAAGACCATCAATCATCGCCCCGCTTAGGCCCGCTATCAACACCAATCTAAGTGCACAAGCTCCAGCTCCTTTCAGCACATTCTTTCCACCAACATTAAAACGACGCCAAACATTTCGGTGCAATGCAAAACAAGCTGATTTTGCTGCATTTACGTTCCCTATCAAGGAAGATGATGCCATCTGGTTGCTCTACAAATGGCTGGAGACAGACTATCCAGAAGGCGGTGTCTTTCTTCCATCATTTGTCCTGATTCGTCGCGAACTTGTGTCATATCTACAGAGATGCCGGCAACCCCGAACCGCCCCGGATAGCCACCAAAGCTCTCACTTCCCAAATGATTCTGAGCCAAGAATTGTTTAGTCGCATCCAGTACAGGGACAAGGGCATCGGCACCCACCTCGACGCATACAGCGAGGTAGAGCATAAAGGGCTTTACGCATACTGGCGAGATCTCGGGACTATGGTGGGGCTGCGGAACCTGGCAATGTTCGCTTTGCAACACTCCTTGATGCAACGAGGCCAGTTTGTCCGCATGCTGCAATTATCAGACATGTGGTGCGATGTGGCCGCCAATGAAGGGTTTAGCGAGTGCGTGGTTTTGGGTTACACTACACAGGAGTCAAAGACGAATAAGAAAGGCGCGACAATAGCCTTGGGCACAATGAGACATAACTCCGTCGAACTGTGTACTGTCACGCCGTCGGATTCTATTTTTTCTGGCATTGGCACATGGATAACGAAGAGCCTCTTGATTTTTCTACCAACGCGACATGGTACGACGAGCTTTTTTTATTAGGGTACAGTGTGAGGAGATGATAGATTTCCTGATCCCTCGTAACCTTCTAATTTTCTCGGTCAGGTCGATGAAAGACGCCAGGCCGCGGCAAGAACATCAGCAAACAAGCGCCGGCGACACGCACCAAACACAACCACTGCATCCCCCCCAGAAACACCTACAGACACCACTCCAACCACCCCAGATTCACCAACCGCCCCCCCCCCCCTGCCTCCCATGCTCATGAGGATGCCCTTACCGCCTTCATGAGGGGATTCGGAACCGACATGGACGTGGTGGTGGGTCGTGAGGCCATTAGTCGCAATACTCATTACAGATTCTTTGGTGACGGCCTGCGGGCAGCGAAAATCAACGCTAGCAAGGTGACGCATATCACCAGAGCTGTGTCCGCCCGGCTAGCGGAGAAAGCCGGTGCAGATTCTGGTCAAACCGCCCGGTTGGGGACTTGGGCCAGGGACAGTAAAAATAAGCATTACACCATCGATTATCCCAGGGAGCCGATGCGGGCATTAGCAGACTTTCCGGTCGAAGCAAAACAGTTCTTTTTGCCTCGAGCAAAGTCAAATTCCTGCTGCTGCTGAGGAAACTCAGAGCAGTCATTCTCCAGGATGCAGTATTCATGCGGGTAGTTTCACCCAACCACCCAATGTTCACGCATGACATATTTCGCAGTGCCGCTTTCAATGCCTTTGCTAATGATTTAACTGCCTCTGCACAGAACGCCGTAAATCCTACCAACGTGTCGCTTGGTGTGATGGCACCGGTCATTGCGGTTGAGATCAAGCTGGGGAGATAACCTATTCAAAAATATTTTTGAGAATGCGTTGAAGAAAATTCTCGACAAGGCGAATGCGTAAGTCTCATTACGTCTCTCTTTCCCTGTTCATGGGGTATTTCGGAATTCAGAAAGTCATGAAACTCGAATGCGCAGTAGTGAAATTTAGAGGATAACACCGCATGAGCATCTTTATCATTGGTTGGGATTCACCGGAGGTGCATAAGTAGAGTGGCCCTACCTGAATATATAATCTCTGTGCCTACTAGAATACATGACACCTTTTGCGATACCGTGAACCAACGTGCAAGAATGAGGGCGGACATGAAAGATTAACGTCACATTGTTTTCATGTGTAAAGAGATATGGTATTTTAAATCAAACCATGGTAGGAAAACAAAATTTACACCAGTAAGGAACGTAGAATCAAGGGTGAAGTGACCAACAATGTTTTTGACAGACGAAAGGCGACCTACAGTGTTTTCCGCATTGTGGTCATTAAATGCGCATGGCCAAAAAATATCCAGTGCCTTCCTCTCTTGGGATAATTACTGTAGTTCAAGAGTCTTGCATGCCAGTATATTGGCTGGTTTCCTGGCAATTTGCGCCAGTAAATTCGCGGAAAAGCCTTGCCTTGGTATCGAGTAGTGGGACCCGCCTTGAGCGGGAAGGGGATGGCCGGGCATGGTTGCGTTAATCCCCGATTAGACACAGTCAAGCTCATCACCATCGAAGACAGTGTACAAAAGTTACTTGAGTTGTTTCAGAACCAAGAAATTACCCGTAGTAGTCGCGCGGAAGTTGCTACGTATGCCATTGACGGTTTTTGTCGACAAACGGGTGAAGGTCAGTCAAGGTGGCGGACCCCAGTGGGGGTCGCCCGGGGGGCAGGTAACGTTCACTTGTCGTGAGAGTGGACCGTGGGAATTTGAGAAGATAGGATGTATGCAAAATTATGAATTAAGTAGTAAGAAAAATATATACAATTTGCAAATGAAAAAGCAGATGGTATACGACACCAAGCTCATATGCCCAACAGGGAGAATAGGACGGGAACTCCTTCTGAAGCCCACCAGCCTATCCCGCAGTACACTATCAGCTTCGTACCAATGTCGACATCGTAGCGAGAGAGTCGATAACGATGGGCGTTTTGAGGGTGGGCGTGTGGCCAATGGAGAAGGGATGGAGCAAATCCGCCCATGTGAGATGCGGGAATGGTTTGGTAGTCTCTAAATTTCGACTGAGTGAGTCTTTTGCGGTTCAAACTTCAGATAGGAGAAATAACATACTTTGTGGCTAGGGCAAAGAATTTTCGGCGGAAGGGAAGTGCGAGAAGCCGGTAAAGAGGAGGCAAGACGGCGTGGCACAGTCGCTTGATGGTTAGACGCCATGCTAAAATGATCCCAATCCCTATTGTTGCACCAAAAAGCTCATGAGAACTTCGTTCGTGAATAAAACAAAAAGACAAGAGAACACCTACCGCAAAATATACGTTGTAGCGCCATTATGGGGCCCAATTCGGCACTATATCCAGCAGTTGATGATGACGGTGTATTGCTCAGAATGGCATGGTGCCAATTTCCCATCAGAAGACCGCCAATCGTCCCCACAAATGCTACAGAGTCGTCGAAGCACGGACATGGGCCGTCGGGATCGGGGTGGATGCTGATCAGTATGATGCAGAGAGCTGGGATATTGATAAGCACTGTGTAAGGAAAGGAGGTATTAAATTTGGAGAACGCGATTGAGACTGATGGGATCCATATTACTTACATGCCCAGCCCGCTGTCATGATTTGGGTTTCCATGGCGTCCATACCGACCCACCAGTGTCCGAGAACCAGTCCAATGCCAATCAGAGCTCCACCCAGGACATCAATCACAGTATGCATTCCAGTAACCACTCTACTCGCCCCGATCGCCACGGCGTAGCAGGCGAGCACTCCCACGCTCAACACTTGAATCCACAGATCGGATTGGAATAACCAGTACCGCAAAGCAAATAGAGCTGTAAACAAGGATAAGGAGACAGCGTTGGTGGAATGGGTAGAAGGAAACCCGTACTCGGCTTCAATCATGGCTGACCCTGACACGCGTCGGACAGGCGGAGTAAGCGGTCTCGGCAACCCCAACCAGTCCTTCACGCATCCGGATACATACACGCCGGCTCCCAGTAGCACCACCAATGACCTCCCAAACACTCGATTCACATCAACTTGCTGACCAGCAACCGGGATGGTTACGCCCGAATCAAACCAAAAGAGCATGGGCAGGAGCAAGAGGAAGGCCGTGTGGGTTCCGAGCGCACCTAGATACATGCAGGAGCGGGCGATAAAAGGCGTGATGTAAAGACTTTGGAAGTAGGCGATCTGCCGGGATTCAGCAGTAATGTAGGGGAGGAGAATGGCACGGATTTTATACTTTAAATGGGACGGAGACGCAGCAACGGGTGGTGGAGCTCCACCAGCTCTTGGAGGTGGTGAATCTGCTGGTCCATTGGACTTCTGGCCTGTAGCGGCTTTTGCGGGGAGAGACGACTGGTTTAGAGGTGGAAGTTCGGTCTCCTCGTGGCTATAAGTAGTCCGCTTTGACGTGGTCCGCGTTGCAAAGTGGGCAAGCTCCTTATTCGCCGCTGGCGCCGTCAAGCCGGCCGACGCCAACGGATTTGTACGCATGTCGCAGATCAAAGCGAAAGAGTTGCAAGAGGCGAGTAAGGCGCCAGCAAGGTCTGGTAGACTGCCTTGCCGATGTAAAACTGCGAGAGGAACGCAAGGGATTTATTTGGGAAGGAAAATGGTGGAGCGCGAAATTTTACAAATTCGCCGGAGTTTGATTTTGCACGTCTCCATTAAACCATTTTCAGGCAGATTGCAACGCGTCGGAACGGACGAAAAAAGAAACTCCGGCTTCCCAGATTTGAACTGGGGACCCTTAGATTGCTGAACTGTTACAGTCTAATGCTACTGCCAACTGAGCTAAAGCCGGTGATGAAAATCGCTCTTCTAAACAATGTTGTATTCTTTCGAGACGAGGAGCAACTTCACACAAGGGGAATGAGAGTATTCTCACAGTCACATCCGCACGATGCCTACAGCCGCCTACAGTATATGTAAGCGTGCAATGTTATGAATTTCAATGTCGTTGCTAAGAAAAGCTCCTGCATGAATATGGTGAATAAATCTAGAAGGATTGCCTTGTAACACATTGGAAGGCGAAAATTCGATGATCCCCAAAAACCCTCAGTCTTATTTGCTCCAAACTAGTGTTCTACTTGCGCAGCCCTTGACTATAGGAAAAAATGGCAGATCCAAAGCAAAAGAATGCAGACAATATATTGTCCGCAACAAGATATGTACCATTGTCAGATTCCATTACATTACACCAGGAGGAAGCAGCTCCACCAGCCGATAAACGGGTTGAGGTTGTCGACTCAAAAGTACAGTCAAATGATCTATTGGCGGTTGTTATTCAACATCCTTCTGAGGAGCATATTGCGGATTTCATTTTACCGCCTCCAGCTCAAAAAATTGGACCCAACAAAAAAAACTCACCAGTAAAAGCATTCCCAGCTACATTCGGCGGATACAGTAAATCCCAACAGCCACCCGAAGCTAGAGGCCTCAACATTACTCCTCTCGCAAAGCGATCTGCGTCCCAGCCAGCGGAAGAAGACGAATTCGATTGGTTCAATGTCGAGGGTGATGCCGCCCCTGAAGAGGAAGAGCATGAATACGTCGCCCAAGGGTTATTCGGACTCAATTGCTGCTATATACCTGGTTACGCGCGATTTTTTGTATATCTTCTCTCTGGTCTTGCCCTTTTTGCGACGCCCACCATTGCCAGCTTAATTCTTTGGCGCACAGAAGATCCGGGGCTATTCGATACCGTAACGAGCAAATCGGACCTAAGGGTCAGCACAGAAGTGGCACGATGGTGAGAAAATTGCACTCTTCACCCTCGAGCTCATTTTGCGCAGTCGCAATGTTTGTCAATCATGTCAGTAAGTGACTAAATCAATCACCGATTATTCAAGGTCTTGTTGGTTTGGATGCTCCTGGATATCGTGGGTCACCATGTGGTACTTCTTCGATGCGTTGCCCTACCTAGCGGTTCAGTTTCTCAACACGGTCTTCGGAGGATATAGTGAACGTACTCGCGCGCGGCTTGAGGTAGGACGGAGAATGTGTCGAGCATAGGTATGGCATACTGACGGAACAGGATTAGTACTTTGTGGCAATGAAGCTTTTCCTTACAATCACAACCTGGGCTATCCTGACTTTTGTGTGCTTTGCCCTTCTATTTCATGATATGGCAAATGTCGATTACTGGCTTGTAATCTTCCATGTCATCGCAACTGTTTTAGTTTTCACCATCTGTCTACTGGTGCAAAAGTTTGTGCTACAAATTATTGGTGAGTACGCTGTCGCCACCATCTTGTTGTTTGGGTATCCCACTTGACGTATACTTTGGCTACTTCAGCGGTCAATTTTCATAGGTACGGTGTGGTTGTCAATCATCCAATGGTATACGTTATTCAGTGTTTCTACAGAGTAGCGTACCTAGATCGAATCACCGTTTCAAAGCGCCATATGGCTAGTAAGTACATTGTGTCAGGGCCTTGTTGAGAGCCACGTATTTTTTGGTAATCAATTATAGTCTTGGATGATCTGAAGAAATCAATTCGAAGCCGTGTATCGGATCCTGCCACTTCCTTGGACGACCAGGTCTCCAGCCCGTCAATTCCTCATATTGAAGAATCACCGTCAAATCCGGGTAACCTAGACAGTCCGTCTGTCAAAGAAAATGCGCGACCACTGCGCAGATTTTTCTGGAGCTCCAAAGCCTGGCACCGTAAGGGGAAAACGCATGAGACAAACGGTCACGCGAGTGAGCATACATATGGCAACGAATTGCATGAGATACGCATATCGGGAACATCAGTACGAAACGCAAACAAGTCGGACGAAACCACAATAGATCCCCGGAACGAAGTTTTCAAAACTGGACCTCTGGCCCGTTCAGAGTTGCCTGAGCCATTTTCACTTAGAGACGTGGGTGGTCAGGACGGAAGCGCCCCAAACTCTCGAAGATCTTCCATTGCGCCACGAAGCATACGTATCAAGTCGCCTCCCCGATCGCCTCAATTGCATCCTCTTGACTTTTCAGATGGTATCCACTGCAGTCGAGCTCACAGCCGTCGCTCGACAAATCACCCACCTCATACCAAAGCTTCCCACGATAAGGGTTCACACCACCCGGAACACAATGATCACCTCGACTCACCGATAACCAATGACTTAAGTACCATTATTAGTGCGCCAACATTTCATGGCCATCGCTACCTACGCGAACTAGCTAGAATGGACATTACCAGCGATATTCAGGCTGGCAAACTGGCCAAAAAGATCTTTACCGGCTTGGGTGGGAATGACAAAGGCTTTTTAACCCAAGAGGACCTTTTGCGGTACGTTTGAGATAGGCATGACTGGAAGATCCCCAAGTCCCTGAGTACGATGGATAGCGCGTTCACAGACAGAGATGAAGCCAAAGAAGCCTTTACAGCATTGGACCAGGATGGGAATGGGTCAATAACACGAAAGGAAGTAAAAGAAGTCGTCATTGGAATGTATCGCGAACGAAGGAGATTATTTCGCGCCATGCGCGATTTGTCTCAAGCGTTGGGCAAACTCAACATGTAATGTGGAGAACTGCAAGTAGTTATGCATGTGTACTTACATTTTTCTATTTAGCTTTTTTTACTTTCTGACGGGGTTCGTTACGTTCTGCATCGCGCTACCGGTACGTAAAGCTGGAACCCAAGTGGCAATCTAAATGGATAGCTTACAGACCGAATGCTCAGATATTTGGCATCTCGCTATCAGCAATGCTGCCCTTCACAAGTTTTATTTTAGCCCTCAGTTTTGTTTTCGGTGCGCGCTTATCGTTGGGTGATGGAAAGCAGCGGTGACATATCTGAGTTTCTGCAGGTACCGCGGCTCGTACCGCATTTGAGTCCTTACTGTTCTTGTTTCTGAATCATCCTTACGACGCGGGTAAGGGGTTGAAAACCTGTTTCACACGCAGTGGATATACTGAGAAATCGATAGGTGACCGGGTGCTGATTGACAATCAAAATATGCTCGTCCGAGAGGTGGGAGTACTGACAACAGTCTTCAAGCGACTGGACGGCCAGTTGATTTACGCACCGAACAGTACGAAGCGGTTGGTTAACAATTTCTGGATTAAAGTACTGAAGCTTGCTTGAAATAGCACTGGTAGCGACCAAATTAATACATAACCTGCGACGTTCTGGAGACCAGGTCAGTAAATTCATGCTTCTGTACTGATAGAAATACTGAGTTTCGTTTTTCCCAGTCGGAAAGTATAGAGTTACATCTCAGTATGTGTTTCATATTCTTCTTGCTGTCCTTTTCTCCATACCTGACTTCACTTCAGATTTTGACACACCGGAGGAAAAACTGAAGATCCTTCACGAGCGTATGTTGGAATACGTCAAATCAGAGCCGCGCGAATTTCAAAATGTGTGCGACATACATTGTGCGGATATGGAAAATCTGAGCAAGTTGAAAGTAAATGTTATACTGAAACACAAAGGGAATTGGTATGTAGAATGTGTACAGTTTTATATTTCTATCGGTCTAATTCCAAGATCAGGCAGGACTGCTCAAAGCGATGGAGTCGACGGAGTATGGTATGGGAAAGTGACTGAGCTCTTCTGTGTCGATGCTTTCCTTACATACCTACATTTTTCCTCCAAGTTTATGTTAAAGCTGCGCGATAACTTGAATGATCTGGGTATCAAAGACGCTACTTCAGCACCGACCAAATCCGTGAGCTTACCGGCCCAGCCGCAGGGTACGCTTCAAAGTGCCAAAGAGAGTTTGAATGTGCAGCAGACTTTTGCGGCTGGTATGCATTTGCAAGCCGTTTGAATGATCACAGATCTGTGAACTTCCACGCAAATATTTTCTTCAACATATGAAAGTTCCATTGAATTTCTACGTATAAATACAAAATGATGGATTATTCAAAATAAGATACAACAGACAATTAAAGTCATGATTTTCGCTCAGCGAATAAGTAAATAAGTAACGCGGCCAAGCGGGCCTTTTCCGGTCTTCAAATCATTTGGATGAGAAAGAATTGGGATATGGTTGCGGCGGGATCGTTGTCCGTTGACTTTGCCTCGGCAGTGAATCCGACAGCCTTGTTCTTGCCAAGACCAGTGACGAGCTGAACCAGGCCCCCAGTTGAAGTTACCGTTGATGCTTCAGGTAGTACGAATGTGAGGTTGAAGGAGTATTGACGACCGGTAACATTGTCGTGGATGACGGCAAGCTGACCAAGGGTTTGTCCGTCATTATCATCGGTTGGTAGTATAGTCAGTGCGCGTGTGCTGCCGCAGGTGGGGATTCCGTTCTCGCGGGCGATGTCCTTCACAGCAGGAATCGCGTCCGTGGTCCACTAATAATAGAGGAAAAATTTAGTTAACCCAAACCTATGTGCGATTGAGAGAACACTGATTTACCGAAAGTAAGAGCGACAAAAAGAGCACAAGAAGAGAGCTTCGGGTGAAGGCTGCCATTGTGAGTGTAGCGACGAGGAAGGATCGGCAGTTTTCTAGGGATGATGTGGATTTGGGCGAAAAGCGTGGAGTCTAATCCTCATCGAGAGGGCGCTGGAAAAGTTGAGCTTTTATAAGCTTTCGAGTTTTGCTGTATACTTCCATCATCAGAATTTTCAAATGCTGTTCGTTCGTAATCAACGGTCGAATTCGCGTACTCCGCCAAAACCGAACGCGTCGCGAGCGTCGCGTTTGCCTTCTACTGGCTGACATAACCAGCTGAGGCTTCTGTTGCTGACGAGATTTCCACCGAAATGAGACCGAAATATTGATTTGGAGAGGATCGCGTAAGCGATGGACCGACCTGCAGGTCAAAATGACAAGTTCATTTGTAGTGGGG